GGTGGAGGGGGGAGTCGTATTCCAAACAGTGAATAGAACAGGCAACTAGTTACTAAAACATCTGGGAGCGTGTATACAACTCACTCTAGCATCCCTCATTTCTGGAAAGACAAACCCAACACTAGGGGTCATTATTGGCTCTCGGGGGAACGCCGGGGGGCCAGCGATAGGAGAGAGATTCACGCACTTTTCATGACAAGCTCTTTTAGGTTACTTGCCTTTTTAGCACGGGTCTACCAGGATTTGTCAAGTGTCCAAAATTCTCCAAGTTGCAATTGTTTAAAGGAAACTCCAGTCTTAGAAGGCACACAGATCTGTCAGCTCTCACTGTAGGACCTTGGCTGAGTTAATCCGTATCAGAGCCTCAGTTTTCTCTTACCCGAGAGAGTATCATACTAGTAATCACCACTAGCGTCACCGAGATTAAATGGAGCACTAAAACCTTAAAAGTATTTCAATTTGGGGCAGAGGTCAATACATGCAACCTATTAAAACAGGAGTTGTTGACTTAGAACTGCTGGTTCACTGTTTTCATCGCCCGCAAGGAGAATGCCGTACTGAAGGCACTTTCTGGAAACGCACCTGCCCGGAGTCACTGACCTTCCTCCAGCAGAGAGGACACACAGGCACTCCTCCAGGATCCACACTGAACCCATCCTCAGGAACGGGACCAGTCCTTGGTCCTCACCTGCCAACAAGTCCCTCTCTGGTAAGGCGGGCCTTGGAATATGCCGGGAGGCAGACACACAGGAGCCACTTGCCTGCCCCCCACACCAGGTCCGCTCACAGTCCGAAACACAAGTCAGCACAGCGAGTTCCCCGTTCCTGCCGCCCCACTGTCCCTTCTCAGCGAGGGGCCACAGATGGCAGGAAAGTGAGAAGCCACACTGCCCACGTCTGTTACATGAGACACAGCTGGAAAGGACACAGAGAGGGGCCCTCGGGACCTTGCCTGGCAGGGCAATGGGTAACCCAAGGGAACCCACCCATACCTGTTCTCCCCATCCCCCCAGAGCCGGTAGAACTGGAGAAAGAAAACAGACTTTGTGGACAAGCAGGGTTTGACTCCAGCTCCATAATCTGTCTGGAAGATTCGGGACCTCTCCAAGCCTCAGTCAAGCTTTAAGACGAAGATGAAATAACTCCCACGGAGGGTTCTTCCTAAGGGTACTTAGGCAATGTGCTTCCTTCTTAGGAAGATGCGTTTCTCCCTAATGAAAGAAATCCACAAAGCTCTTGTACACACTTTGGACATGTGAGGGGTGACAGAAACCAACTCAGCCGGGGACTGCACTGCAGGGCCGTAAGCACAGGCGGTGACAAGTCACATGCTGATGTCACATAAAGGAAGTACACACCACCACCTGTGAGGGCAAGGTACCCCCACCCCCCGCCCAAAATACCTGACTCGCATCCAGATTCTACAGCTAATGAGCAATTCAAAAGAAAGGCAAAGGACAGAGGAACATGGTAAGGATTACCATGGGGCTGCAGCCAACAAAATACTAAATAGGAAAACAGTTCAAAAGGCCAGGTTTTTCAATATTAGCAGAAACGGAAGGAGGACATGGAGGGTACAGTACCAATTAGGAAGCTAAAAAGACCTATCACCCAACTGCACTGTTTGCACGGCGCTAAGACCCCGACGAGCGCAGATAAAATATTTTTTGAGACAAATGAAGAACACCAAACACTGATGGGACATTTGAGAATATTAAGGAATCATCGTTAACTTTTTAGGTAGGATGATGGTACTATAAATATCTTTTAGTGATAAATACTGAAATATTTGTGATGAAATAATATAACTTGGATATGCGTCCCAATAATCTGAGATGGGAAGGGACTGACCTCAGTAAGAATGAGTCAGGAACGACCCGGAGTTGATTACTGCCAGAGCTGAGTGGTGAAATGATGATGGCATTTCATTTAATGATTCTCTCCTTTTCCACAGGCTTAAAACGTCCCCCTTTTATTAAAAGGCTGCAAGTAGGGGCGCCTGGGTGGCTCAGTGGGTTAAAGCCTCTGCCTTCGGCTCTGGTCGTGATCCCAGGGTCCTGGGATCGAGCCCCATGTCGGGCTCTCTGCTTGGCAGGGAGCCTGCTTCCCTTTCTCTCTCTCTGCCTGCCTCTCTGCCTACTTGTGATCTGTCTGTCAAATAAATAAATAAATAATCTTAAAAAAAAAAAAAAAAAGGCTGCAAGTAAGCCATAGGCTGGTAGGGAATATTCAAAACATGCATAAATGAAAAGACAGGTAAAAAAACCTCTGGAAATCGGCAAGAAAACACATGCAACCCGACAGGAAACAGGAGCAGGCCGCAAGTCACAGAGGTAGGAACCAAAATAACGAGCTGGCAAACAGCAAGGTGGTCCGCTTCACTCGCGATGAGAGAAACACAAGTTAAAACCCGCCTCACACCCAGAAGTGTTAGTAGGCATGTCTAAGTGTTGGCAGGAACCCCTGCATGCTGACAGAGGAATCAGAAACAGATCTTTAAAAAGAAAAAACAAAAACAAAAAACAAGTAAAGCTCAGTAACGCTTAAAATCCCGTCCCGCGCAGCTCAGCGAGCTCACCCTTGGGCGCAGGTGTCAAGGGAACAGCCACGCAGCAGACACAGAAGTGCTAGTACAGGACTGCCACAATGGGCAAGAGACAGGCAGAGCTCGTGCGCTTCCCAAGAGAAATACCGCCCCAGAGACAGTGATGTTCACAGGAGAATTAAAGGTCCATCCCAGCCCCCTGATGCAAGTGCCAGTCCAAGAAGACACAAGCAACCGCGGGGCGTGAAAAGAAGGCAGTGAGATGCCATCAGCCAGTTCCAGGTGGTGACATGACCCAGGGTCTCCCACAAACACGTGGCAAGAAAGAGAGTGGAAGGAGAGCAAGAGGAGGGCGCGACGCATGGACAGAAACATCAGCGAGTGCTTCGGTTTGTGATGGTGGTGGACAGGGGTTGGAGGAGGGAGCAATGGGACATCAGGGGCAGAGAACAAGCTTCAGGAGACAGGAGGGACGATGCGGGTCACACCTAAGGCCACACCACCTCGCACTGAAGACTGGCTAGGATGTTACATTGCAGCCTCTGTTTTACTCAAGTCAGAACAACTGTGTTAAAATGAAACACAAAACACAAGAGATATAACCAATGACAACACACGTGGATCCTAATTTTTAAGAAACTATAAAAAGTTATGGAACAGTAAGAAGTTTGAGCACAGATATCCGATGGCATAAAAGAATGGAGGGTAATGGAGAGATGGTGATATATTTATGGTTTCTTTTTTTTTTTTTTTTTTTTTTTTTTTAAGATTTTAAGATCTATACAGAGTGGTCTATAGAGGAAGTAATGTCTAGTATCTGAATGAAAACAACAGAGGGGAGAAGCGGGTGCGGTAATACAAACAAGACTGTCACCGAGGACAGCTCTACTTGACAAATATGCATAAGATTCCTTCATCTCTGGGCATCTGACACAGTACACAAGAAACCTTCGAAATGAAGAAGGTATTATAAACTCTAGAAGAGGGTGAAATGCTCTCAGCATCATGGCTTGCAATAGCAAAATTATGTGAACAACCTGACTGTCCATTAAAACGGGACTGGGTTTCAGTTCTCATGGTACTTCCTTCAAGACAGAACTCAAGAGTCAAGGAACTGAATGAACGAGACCGGACCCACCCCCCCACACACCCCCACCCCCGCCGACCATGGGGGTTTGGCCCCGCTGCTCAGGGAACGTCTGGCAATGCCTGGAGACATTCTTGGATGTCATCACGGCGTGGGATGCTACTGGCCTCTAGTGGGTAGAAATCAGGGGTGCTGCTGAACATCTAGAGAAAGCAGAGAACGACCCCCACAAGTGGATGCCTGAAGCTGTGGACGGCCCTGAGCCCTACGTACAACCTGCTTTCTCCTTTATTTGATGCCTATGACAAAGTTTACTTTGTAAATTCGGCACCTAAGAGATCAGCAACAATAGTGAATAGAATAATTTTAACAATATATGTAATGCAAGATGTGAATGCGGCCTGTCTCCAAAATATCTTACTGTCCTCTGTTCTCCCTTCTTGCTCGTGGTAACGTGAGAGGACACAATGCCGACGTGAGGAGATGGAGGTGAGTGACGGAGGCGTTGTCACGTAGCGTTCAGCTAACGATGACCTTCTGACAACTCGTCAGAGGAAGGGTCATCGGCTTCCAGATCGTGGCAAGTGGAACCACAGATATGGGGGACCAGCCTAAGGGGCCCAAAGAATGAAGGGAGTTACAGTGTTAAAATCCTCTACTAGATCTGTGTGAGACAGTCCTCAAACCACAATACTGACTTAAAAACAAGGGTCAGGGAGGTATAAACAGGTAGCATTAGGTCAGTAACGGTTACAACATTAGTAACCATTACGTTAGTACAGGTTACCCAAAAACCAAGACTGTTGCTCAAGGAAATTTATGTAGTGAATATAAAAACAGGAAGGAGGGGACGCCTGGGTGGCTCAGTGGGTTAAGCCACTGCCTTCAGCTCAGGTCATGATCCCAGCGTCCTGGGATCGAGTCCCACATCGGGCTCCTTGCTTGGCAGGGAGCCTGCTTCTCCCTCTGCCTCTGCCTGCCTCTCTGCCTGCCTGTGCTCGCTCACTCTCTCTCCCTCTGTCTCTGATGAATAAATAAATAAAATCTTTAAAAAAAAAAAAAACAGGAAGGAGAAGGCTATACACAGATTTCAGAATATTGACAATGGGACGTGGTGGGGCATGAAACATCGCAAAGGGGAGGCTCCAAACAGAATTGGTATCATCGTGTTTGTTCTTCCCGTTCCGGCCCAAAGCAAACCCAGTGCAGAGAAGGTTAATGCATGCAAAATCTGGATGGTGGGTACATGACAGCTCACTCTTTCAGTCTCCTTGACATTGCCAGCACCGAGCTGGCAAACTTAACAGTGTGACTGGGGAAAACAGGTAGAAGAGCGAGGCTGGGGCCTTCCCAGGTGGGAGCACTCACCGGTCCCCGCAGGTCAATGAGCTCCTGCCTCATCTGGGACACGAGGGCCTCCTTGGCCACCAGGGCCCTGTGCAGGCGCTCGTTGAACTCAATCAGCTCGCCGTGCATCTCCGCCACCTGGAACACACAAGCAAAACACGGTGAGGCTCAGAGGACAGACCCGCGCCCCACCCCCAGGCATGGGTGCCACCTTCTCCAGGGCTGCCACTCATCAGCGAGGCCCCAGGAAGCTGTCCGGGCTGGAGACACAACACTGCTTACCTATGAACTGTGCAAACCTGGCTCTAGGCCGAACATATCTGAGACTGGGTTGATGTGACTACTATAGAACCAATGGTCTGAAGTTCATGGTCAGGAGAGGACCCTACTAGGTCATTTGGGGCCTTCGGTTTTTATCCTTCATGGACACTTCTCTAGCAAAGGCTTTCTTCCTCGTCTGAGTTGTGCCTGCCAAGAATTACTCAGCTAATGGCATGCTTCTGTTCCTCAGGACCTCAGTTCTGAAAACTGGGAACACAGAGCCAGAGCTTCATGGCGATGGTGACAGCGATGGTGACAGAGCCTGCTGCAGCGGCATAATGAGCCCTCGGTCACCGCCTCATCTTTGCCAGGGACATCCCCTCCGAGTGCTCCCCACACCTTCAAGATGCTGCTCCGTGAGGCAGGTGCTAGTACTCCTGCCTTACAGAAGGGCAACGACGTCACAGAGTAGCAGCAGCTAGCTCAAGGTCATACCGCCAATGGACGGCTGATTCCGGGGACCTGGCTCTCAACCACCGGGCCAGACGTCACAATTCTACCCCTTACACCTTGCCCACGTGCAGCCCGCTCAGGCCTGCCGTAAGCCCTCGAATTTGGGCACATTTATTCAATACTTTTGGCTTATCCCAACGAAATAAAAAGAGGCCGGCATAAAGTAGTCTCTCACTGACGTACAAAATGAACCCCAAGTCTTTCCACCTATCAACTTACGGAAAGAACGATGATACCTATATGGGCGAAACAGAGTAATTTCTCTGATTACATGATTGATCTTGTTGTGGCTTAAGATCAAATTCGACTAGAATTTAGTTAAACATTTTGGAGAGATGTGAGATGTCATCTTGCCATGCTCTTTAGGAACCTTGGAAGAATCGTGCGACCATCTTAAAGAGAATCCCTCAAGAATTTAGAGGTCAAGAGAGTCTCCCCAGCCCTGTCCCCCTGCTTTTCCCAAAAGAACACTTCTCCCTTATATTCTATTTGAGACAAACCTAATATCAGACCCTTATAGTAAGTGCTACATATGAAATATAAAACATAATGTCAGAATCAAGAAGGGGTATAGGGAGACGTTTTGTGGGAAAAGAAAGGATCATTAACCTAAGTCTTGGGGCCTCAGGAGGAGTAAAGGGGGGGGCTCCTTTTTTTTTTTGATATGTTATATAAAAGGTAAAAGGCATAAAAGGAAATACACAAGATATTAACAATAGTCAAGGGACAGATTTTCTTTGCATTTTTTCTACTTTTCCTTACTTTTAGTTTGCCGATAATGAACGCTCTTCCATTTATCAGTGGGTAGAACCACTGGGGCCCTTTAAGGAATGAAAATTCTTCACCTGAAACTAAAGGCAGCTGTGGTACTATCAGCACAAAATGCACGGGCTCCCAATCACATCCTGAGGCTTCCTTCAGCTTGCTCTGTGAATCTCCACCCTGTTGATGGCAGCCCCCCACCCCCCAGCTGCCCACCTCTTTCAAACCCGTGTGAAATGCTAAGTGAGAACTGCACAGAAGATATTCCAAGTACTGTGCAATTAACAACGGGAGAATAAGTCACTGAGCTTTCAACCAGCTTTTGGTACAGACCTCAAATTAATATTTCCCAGTTGTGTTATTCCTTTTGTATTGGAAAAGCTTAAGACGATCTTCTTCGGGTCTTTCGCAAACAAGTCCAATATTGCTAATAATGCCCGTGCGGATCCTTCACACAGAAACCACCCAAATCCGCCGTGAGCCTCCCCGGGGCAGAGAATCCTTTTACCACACGGTAAGCAGGAAACACACCACTGCCAGTATTAGTGCTGAATGTCTGCTACCGGACGGACCCCCATGAGACAGAGCTTTCAACAAATGCCACCGGCATTTCCAAAGCAAAGCTAACAGTTTGTTTTTGTTTTTCTTTGTTTTGTAGCGGAAGCCAGAGTGTTAAAACGATTTTCCGTAAATGCATAAAACATCGAAACATCCCAGCCTGCAATGGTATTTATCATGAGCTGTCAAAACCCTGGTTCTCTTCTGCAGCCAGAGTGACTTGACCACGTCCGACAAAGCTTTCCTTTCGCTGGAAAATAGGGGGCTGGGCTGGGGATCCGGTGGAACGGAGGAGATAAACTGATGAAATAATTCCAAGTAACCATTAAAACTGCGATACTCATTGTTACTCTGCGAGGCTCTGAAGCTGAGTTTCTAGACTAGATACCCCTATAGACGCTATTGAGACCAACAGCTTTGACCTTACATAACCCATGCTGAGCTTACTGTTCCTTGAATAACTCCTCCCAAGTCTAGTGTAACCAGAAATGGATTCAAGACTCCGAGAGCCTCAGAAAAGGAAGTGGAGATTATAGAAACAAAGGCAGGCAGCACCACCACTGCCGGCTGGAGATTCTGCTAGGCTCTGGGGGCACTTACAGGTCTCGCCTGACCAGTCCTTGTTTTCAGCAGCCACAGAGAGTCGCAGGGAATGGGACAGAGAGACAGACACTAGCTACCCTTCAGTCCATTGTCGGCCAAGCAGACAGAGTGATCTTCCCAAAGCAACATCTGGTATCATCACCTGCTGTTTAAAACCTTCACTGCTTCCCACTGTCCTAAGGATAAGTAAAACCCAAACACCCTCGTGATCACCCAGCCTCTCTGACCCCATCACCTGCCCCCTGCCCCCACATGTAAAGTCACTCAGTCACAGGTCTTCTATGTTCCATAAACATGCTGAGCTCTAGGAGGTCACCCTGAGATGGGGTAGAGAAAGGCATATCCAGCAGAGGAAACCGCAGGTGCAAAGGCCCAGAGGTTGCCGGGGCTGGGGTAGGGGAGCAGCTGAGACAGGCAGTTAAATGCTCAGATTCTGGTGCAAGACAGGCCTGCACTCGATCACTTATAGCATGCTCTGGCACCAGTCTCTCAACCTTGGAGAGCCTAGAGCCATTCACCTACAAAACGGGGATTCAAAACCCTACCTGGGGCATGGGGCCACTGTGCGCCCGACATGAGCGGCCGCACCTAACTGGCTGGGCACTGTGTCTGGGTGTGACAAGTGCTCGGTGAAGGAGAGCTGGTTGTACAGGGTGGGCGGTCACGTCAAAGGGGAGTCGAGGACAGGGATGTCTATAGCAGCCAGATGGAAAGGGGCCACAGGTGCCTACCAAGGAACTCTGCTGTGGAGACAGACTCATTGTCCCCCAGTGAGGAAATGTCACCAAGAGAGTTGCTAACCATGTGCCAGTTGGGGGTGTGGCCCTCGGTTGGGGGTGTGGGAGCAGCGCAGGCAAATCATGGGGTTCAGCTCCTAGAGATCAAACTTAGAGCTTACTGAGAGAGGAGGACTGGGAAAGAGGACAAGACATCACGGAAGGCCTCCCCCAGACAGAACATTCAGGAGTCCCTCACTTCTCCCCTCAGCCTTGGCAGCTTCCCCCCGCCCCAGCCCCCAGCCCCTCGCATGATGCCCAGGGCCCTTTGGAGACGTGGCCTCTCCAAGTGCACAGCTTATGACCCTGGTGCTTCTCAGTCACTTTCCCAGTTTGGAGAGAAGACAGGAGACCTCTGACCCTTCTAAGTCACAGGCTGTTTGGCAACATCGATCAAACTTTTAAAATCACTCCCCTGTGACTTGGCGAATTTCTGTTGGGGAATTACCCAGCCCCTCCACTTGCACCTGTGCCCAAAGCACTGGTTTAGCTCCAAATGGCTTGAACCCACCTAAATGCTCAGCCACACGGGATCAGGAAAATTGATCGGACTCACCCCCCTCTCTCCCACCTCTGGCCCGTGGCAGACATCACTAGTTGCTTGCCGCACTCCTTCCTCAAAGATACGCTCAGGCAGCCACTCCCAGGTGATCAGAGACCTGGCCCATGGATGACACAGACTTGGTATCCCTGGCATAAGGGATGAGGGAAAGCGTCATCAGGAAGGTGACATTTGAGTTGGGCTTTGGAAGACGAAAGCTTTGGAAGTTCAGAAGACTGAGCAATCCATTCCAGCTGGAGCATCAGAGAAGACGATTTCCAAAAATAATGTGGCTGTGAAAAAGGCTTTTAAGTCTGTGAAAATCCCAGGAATTATCATAATTACCTGCCAAATCACGAAAGAATTATAAATTTAAAAAAAAAAGCCTCTAGCATTTCCTTTGATATCGGAATGTTCTATCTAATCAAATTCAAGCAAATCATGCTTCTCCCTCCCTCAGCTACCTAATTAGACACTTCCCTGATTAACTAGACCAAGACAACCCCCATATTCTAACGGCAAGTGAGGTCCTTCTGGTCACATACCCCAAACTATGCGAGAACATTCCCATCGAGGTCTTGGCATCGTTAAGCTTTATAAAACGCACAGGCTGCTCTTTGATGTCACACACATAAGCCGCAGGGAGGGTGCAGAACCTCTTTCCGTGATGAGGACACGGCACCAGGTAAAGACTAAGACCCTGTCAGTGCCCATCTTTCTTAATCCACTTTCGAGCACCAACTATGCTCCAGCCCTTTATTCCCGGGATTATACCCATCCACTCATAGGACCCTCACCCGCATCCCTCCTGCAGGCTGGGCCTGTCTCCCTAAGGATGAGCCTCGAGGCTCCGAGGCGCCAGGTTTTGAGACTGAGGTGTGGGAGTCAGGAAGTGGCGGGGTGGGATGGCCACGGTCTGTGCTCTCTGCACGCCATCCTGGGCTATGGGAGACAAGCTGAGCCCTTCGGGGGTTAAGGAGACGAGTGTACCCCATAGAGCGAAGGCAAGTAGTGCAGTGTGGACCAGTGGCTCCCAAAACAAGCTCATCATTGGCCACTTGGAGGGCTTTCGAAAAATACAGATTTCCAGCCCTCACTCTCAAGAGCTGACTCAGTGGGGCAGG